TATTTTTAAAGCAGGTTTTTTATCTCTCTTTTTATGGGTTATACAGATTAATGAGTTTCATTTTGGCAAATTCATCCATGCACATACATTTTCACCTTCCTGTCACCCCTCCTGCCCTAATTTCATATTCTGTTGGAGTTGAGTTTTTATATTTTTCTCATGTCTGTTCCCCAATAACCTACCCTTATATTCCCTCCCCCGTTCTGTTATCCGTTTCTTCTTCTCTAGTAATAGTCTCATTTCTATTTTCTTTTTTTCCTTTTTAGATTCCACATACACTATTAGGGCAAATATGCAGTATATATCTCTCTGAGTCTAACTTATTTTGCTCAAAATGATAATTTCCAGACCCGTCCATTTTCTTGCAAATGACAGACATGTTTTGTTCCGTGTGGCTGAACAGTACTCTGTCATGTACATGGACTACGTTTTGTTTGTCCATTTGTCTGCTGATGGGCATCTGGGCTGGCTCCAGAGCTTGGCTATTGTAAGTTGTGCTACAATAAACATGACTATACAGTTATCTCTACAGTGTATTGACCTGAATTCCCTTGTGTATTACCAAGAAGTGATACAACCAAAACAAATGGTAATGCTAAATATATTATAAAAATTACAGTGATTTATAAAAAGTTTTACAGTGAAGCACACATTTTTATTAATACTTCTCAATATCCTCCCCCTTGCTTCCAACACATGTGTTCCCCCAAAAGTTTCTTACCACTGAAACAGTTCTGGAAATCCTTTCATAAGTGTCCTTACTCAGGCTGTCATGACTAAATGTTTAAATTTCTTGGTCATTTTGTTATTGACAAAGAGCCAAATTTGCACAGTGCAAGATTCAGTGGGGTGGATCAAAGCACATCATAATGTTTTCATTGACACCTGTTGATTAATAAGCTGAGATCAAAAACTAAGCTAAATGTTTGCAAATTTGTTCGAGTAAAAGTCACATCGTCATTAATTATCCTCAGAATACTAAAATACTCTTCCTTGTTTCAAACACACTTGCCCGTTTTTTCTTTGGAATGAGTCTTTACTATAATAAGTGATTTTTTAAATTTAAACATTCACCATAGTTTGAAGTCACCCTTTGTATTTTTAGGAATCTCTATATTTTCGCTGTGGCTGGTACCAATTCACATTCCCACAAAAAGTGTAGATGGGTTCCTTTTCCCCCACAGCCTCAACAGCATTAATTGTTTTCTATGTTATTGATGATAATCGTTCTGTTAGACTGAAGTGAAATCAAAATGTAGCTTTGGTCTGCATCTCCCTAGTACTTAAGAGTATTGACCATTTTCTCATTTATTCAATGGCCACTTGTACTTCTTTCCAAAGTGTTGCTCAATTTATTTGCCTGCTTATTGATTTGGTTATGTGGGGTTTTGGTGTTAAAATTTTGAGTTCTTTATGCATTTCAGATATTAATTCTCTGTTGGAAAGGGAACTAACTGGTAAGCATTTTCTCCCATTCTGTAGGCTATTTCTTCACAGAAGTTGTTTCTTTCTCCTGCTGTGCAGAAACTGTTTAATTGGATGTCCCACTTGTTACTTCTTGCTATTGTTTCCTGTGCTACTACTCTTCTATTCAGGAATACATGATAAAAACCCTAATGAAAGAAGGTATTAGAGGATCATTACTCAATGCAGATAAGACCGTGTATGACAAACCCACAGCCAGTGTCACTCAAATGGGGAAAAACTGAAAGCAATTTCTTCACAAATTGTACACCAGGCAAGAATGTTTACCCTCATCATTGTTATTCAATGTAGTTCTTAAAAGTATATCTAGAACAATTAGCCAAGAGAAAAGAAATAGAAAGGACACCAACAAGAAAGGAAGAAGTTAAGTTATCCTTGCTTGCAAATGATTTGATTCTATACTCAGAAGACTCTGAAGACTCTATCAAAACACTTTTACAACTGATAACTTAATTCAGCAAGGTATCAGGATATAAAATCAACAATAAAAATCCATAGCTTAACTATAGTAATGAAGTAGCTGAGAAAAAAATTAGGAAAAAAATTCTATACACAACAGATGCAAATAATATAAAATACCTAGGGATCAGTCTAGCCATGGAAGTGAAAGACCTCTGCAATGAAAAATTTTAGAAAACTGAGAAAGGAAATTAAAAAAGACACCAGACTATGGGAAGATCTATGTTCATGGATTCGCAGAATTAATATTGCTACAATGGCCATATTACCAAAAGTGATCCACAGATTTTATGAAACCCTCATAAAAATACAATGATTTTCTTCACAGAACTAGAAAAAAAATCTTAAAATTCATATGGAGACCGACCTAGAATAGCCAAAGCAATCCTAAGCAAGATGCACATTACAGCTCCTAATTTCAGATTATATGACAAAGCCATAAAAACAAAAACAATACTGTACTAGCATGAAAATAGAAATGCTGACTACTGGATACAATAGAAGGCACAGAAATAAACCAATACTAATACAGCAACCTGATTTCAGGCAAAGGAGCTGTGTTAGTTGGTACATTGTGTCCACTTGGCTGAATCAGCTCAGCACTTCTCAGCGTGGGGGCCTCGCCCTGCAGGTGGGCAGGACCCAAGAATTGAGAAAGGCTTCCTGCCGCCCTGCCAGACTTCCTGCCGCCCTGTCCCGCTTCCGTGAAGAAGTCCCAGTTTTTGGAGTAGCTTGATCTTTGCAGCCGCTCCACTTTGGCCATGGAACGCTGGTCTTTGCAGTCAGCATAGAAGGAAGAGAGAGGCTTGATGGCCGCCGCAGCTGCTGCTCCTCCTCTGCTCCTCATTGTTTTCTGCCGCATGAACTGCTGTCATCTGCCTTGGAGCTAGTGGAATATGGACTGAATCCTCCAGTAACTGTGAGCTAAATACACCTTCCCTTCCTTCATTTTGAGTGTTGGGTATTTGTCCCAACAATGAGTAAAAAGTAACTAAGACAGCAGCAAAATAATGCACGTTAGAGAAAGACTGGATATACACTTGCATAAGACCGAAGCTAGATTACCTCTTCACATTGCAAAAAAATCATTTTGAAATGGATAATAAAAGTCCAACATGTAAGACCAGAAATGTAGAAACTGCAAAGAAGAAAACAGAGAAACACTTGAAGCCACATACACAGGCAAAGACTGCATAAACTAGGATTTTTTAAAAAGGAAAGTATAATAACCTAGTATTAAATGACAAACACTAAGCCAATAAACGTTACCCATAAATGTCAGCTTTGAGATCTCTCTGTACTGAAAAAAGAATAAGAAAAAAATGAATGTCCCTGTGAACTGCAGCAGGCCGTCTTCTTGCTCTTACTTCCTGGTGACTGTCCCAGTGGAAGGTTCTGTGCTCTGTGGCGCATTGAAGACTATTTGCGGATGCTCTCGTGGCGAACTCTCCAGATGCCCTGACGTCTGCGCAGCTGCTGCGGCCTCTTACCTGTTTCTGTGCCACTTTTTCCACTTCTCATGCACAGCTTCTCCTCCATCTCTGCCTTTGCACACTTCCATCCATCCTCACACTTACAGTTGACTCCCAAGACAGCATCTTTAACTTGACCTTTTGGACTGCAGCACTTCTAACTAATATCCAAATATTTCTTCCTTGCTAGACATATTCTGCCTTCGCTCAGCCACGGAGTCAAAACACCTTGCCTTTTTAGAAGTAGCATTCCCTTCCAATCCCTTTGTTTCTGTTGGTATAACGATGGCGCCATGTATAGCCAGGCAGTTATACTTCGAACAAAAACACTTGGCTGAAGTGTCAGTGAGAATTGAAACTACACTGGTGTGTGATACATTTAAGCACAGACCTGTATTGGTCTTAGGCAGAGCTGCTTGCCACTTCCTCCACCCAGAGAGACTTTGTCTAATTCACCCAAAGATGGCCCATGTATGTTATTGAAGGCCCTGAGTGTCCTCACCGTTTTCCAAATCACCTATTTCAGAAACTCAGACTCTCAATCTTCCTTCCCTTTTTCATTCCAAAATACAGCATGTTGAGCTGCCAGGGGTCGAGTGCAGCAGCCAGTGCTCGCTCTCTCTCTCTCTCTCTCTCTCTCTCTCTCTCTCTCTGTCTCCCTCCCTCCCTCTCTCTCTTTCTAAACTATTTTCATTTCATCACATGTCTTCACTGAACTCTTCCTCTGTATTCTTTCACTACCAGAGATTTCCTTTCTTTAAAATATAAGTTTATTTGTCATTTAGTTGCACAAAACCCTCAAGGGTTCTCTATGGCCTGTAAGTATAAAGCTCTTGACCTGTCATTTTTCAACCAGTCACAGTCAGAAATATTTATGCTACCTTGTACCTTGCAAAAACTCAGTAAATATTTGGCCACTGATTAAATTTAGAATATTATAAAATAATGGTCCCAAGACTCACTGACCACCTAAGTCCAACTAAAATGCCCTGTGCTTCCCAGGCACCAGGAACTTCTTTAACTTAGAGAACCAGTCCTTCAGTGTATTGTGTGCAGAAGCTTGACACTGCGGGTGCATTCACCTCAGGCATTAGCCACACCCGATCCAACAGGCCATTTCTGGATGTCCTCCCACAGCCTTCTTGTCCTGTACCAGCCCTGCTCCATCTGCTAGGCAGCAGACCCAACAAGCTTCCCAGTTATTGTGGCTCATTTATCCTGTTCCCTTCTTGGGTGAGTCACCTCAAGTTCGTTCCTCCTGCTAGATGCTGAGCATTTTGGAGTTATCAAGGCTTTATTACTTGCCTCTGCCTTCTTCCAAGCTGCAAGCTTAAGAAGAAACATGTTCATAGCCATCGTCAGTGAGGTGTGTGCCGAAAGCAGGCTGGCCAGCCTTTGGACTTTTCAGGGAAGAGGTATGAGCATATGAAAAGGAAAAAAAACCATAATTAAGTGTTTATTTAAGATATTTGATTTTACTTCCTTTTCTGACAGTAGCTAGGCCATCAGAATACATTTTGCATCACTGAGTGCCCTGTGCAGAATATAGAACTGAAGTCTCTTATTTCTCTTACATTTTTATAGAAAGATCCTGAATTCCAGGAGCATGAACGGATTCTGTCTCCAGAGTTTCTTTCAACTGTCCAGATCACTGACTTACTAACAGAAGATGTAGATGGAGTTCAGGAGTAAGTACTTTAACACTAGCATCAGATCCATTCTATTTCATTTATAAATGCAAGGGATATACTATTATACATGGTACGCTCTTTTACTGTGTACTAAAATATATACAGACTCTAGAACCCAAAATTGAAAAATAACTGATATTTGTGCTGTTTGGCAGCCTTCTGAATGGGAGAACTACATTGCAAACAAACTTGTTTGTATTAAATAAGAGTACAGCTTTCCGATCAAAGAGGCTTCTAGCCTATGGCATCTTCTCTTTCATTCATAAAACTATCAGACTGTGAAAAACAAAGTGCTGTCTTTGTAATATTAACAGTTGATACTTTTTTATTTTGCAAATCCTGACTGTTGGTCATTTGATCTGAAATGGAGGCATCCTAAATACTCTTGATTGCGTACATGTTGCTTAACAATACAGCTGAGTGTACAGAAATAACTCTAACATACGTGCATCTCACTTTATTTATGCCACTTATGTTATAGCACATCATTTATGTAGAACATTAAGTGCTTATACCATGCAACACAATTTCCTAAACGTTGTTTCTAATAATCACCCATTTTGAAAATTATCTCACTTTATAACAAAAACCTGATTGCCTGAAATAAGCGGAGAGAAGGCTGGCTCAATGGGCAGGACCACATTGTCCTGAAGCTTTGTCTCTGTGGTCCAGACCTCGTGGCACAAGATAGTGTCCTGCACCACAGTGGACAAGCAGGAAATGTTTCTGTCCACAATTAACTTATAAATTATTATGTAAGTAGTTGACCTACTACCAAAAAGGAAACAAGACAAATGTACTGACTGGGGGAGAAATCTGAGAAGCAAAAGCCTTTTTCAGAGCAAGGCCGTAGCTCTGGAGGGCCTTTTCTCAGGATGCTCTTCACCCCCAGTTCTTGTATACTATAGGGCTGGTGGAGCGGGGATCTGGCCATGCTTCTGGGTGACTAGATCTTTGCTGATGACTTAAAGTTTTTCAGTTTTTAACCAAACATCTCATGACAATTTTACCATTTTTTTTATAAAAAATAAATGTTGTTTAGGAAATCTGCTGGATGTAAGAATGGATAAAAATGCATTCGTGATGTTGGTAGCATGGACTCTCCTCTCTCCTTCATTTGAAGTATTTTTATGCAAAGGATTTTCTACTTCTGGGTGCTTCTGGTCATCGCTATGTAAAACAGGAGATAGTTCTAGGCAGACAGAGTGCAACTCACATACCATATATTTAATGCAATGTACATTTTATTTGTATTACATATTTAATAAAAGATGTTACATTAAGTCCAGTAAAATTGAAGATGCTGTTGTTCTTTAGAAGTATGTCTTACCATATTATAAGTGAATCTGTAGATTGTACTTTACACGAGAATATATTTTTCAGCTATTGACTGCCTTTTCCTTTTCTGTATCTGAACTGTGAAAATACTTTTAATCTTGATGGGAGGAGGAGTGAGATCTAGGACAAAGTAAGTGACACAGAAGGTGACAGCAAAATTAGCAGGGTTGAATAGCAAGTGATCTATTTAAACTATCATTAATATAAAAATTACATGAAGCACTGGACAGGCATGGTGGGAGGCTGAGACAAGTGGATCATTGCAAGTTGGAGACCAGCCTCATTTTTGTAGTCTCAGCTCAAGGCCAGCCTGAACTGCATAGTGAGACCCTGTCTCAAAAAGACTAAAATAAAACAAAACAAAAATTACACGAAGTAATCTGATCTTTGAATAAAAAAGGCCAATATTATCTTAGGAGCCGTTCCTTTGTGATTTTTTTGTGATACTCTTCATGGTGTTATAACTAGCAATCCTGAAATATTTGCAGTATTTAAAAGGGCATTGTTATAAATAGGAATTATGTACTTTTTAAATGACAGAAATATTTCTGTACCTTATGACTAAGGAACATAACTATGCTGAAATTATACAGTATGCAAAAGTATATGCCTATTTAATTATGAGACATCAGTATATTTTCCCACCTTTCAAAATTAGGACTTGCTCTTTATGAAAGCAACCAATCAAATGAAACATCAAAGTATTATTAAAAATATTTTTGGAATACCCTTTAAACAGTTAAATATCTGAGCACGTCTTTCATTGTCCCCTATCTCCTATCAATCACTAATTTTTAAAATGCAATTCTGGCTTTATTTAGAGATGCATGCCAAATTCCTTTTTTATAAAAGGTAGACACTACACTAAGAATAACTTTCTGTGTTGAAGGCTGTAATGTGCAACTGTAACCCCCACAGTCAGGATGCTGGGGCAGGAGGATCACCAAGAGTTCAAGCCCAGCCTGGACTCGGCAGCAAGGCTTTGCCTCTAAATAAATAAATGAATAAAATTACTTTATAAGCATAGAAGTAGTGCCAAGCCTTCCTGTGGTGACCTTTCTGTAGATGCGCTACTTAACTGTTGCTTTTAAAGTTTCTGTCTTCAAGCCAACACTGCGAAGTAAGACATGCACCATTCCACGAGCATGTAAGAATAATGCAACACACAGGGTCCTGAGTTCAGTCCCCAGTACTACGAAAAAGAAAAAAAGGACTAATGCAATAATAATTTTACTGAATTTATACCATAGCTGGGCCATCTCTCTTAACATTTCCCACTCCATCTTCCTTCGTATACAAGATAAAGGCTCAAAACTTTGCCACCAAATACCGAGAGACATTACACTCAGATTTTAACCGTATTTGACTTCACTCAACTCCCTTCATAAGCTCCGTTAGAGAGAAAGAACAACAAAGGGCAGAAATAGTAAGTGTTCAGCCCCATGGCTCAAGCTAAGTGGAGAACTCAGCAGTTACTGGGAAAGGGAGAGCTCAAGGAGGAGCTTGAGTAGGAGGTGAGGTGGTGGGAGATCAAAGAAATTTCACTAAAAGATACTTTGAAAAGTAGTTGCCTGCACTCAAACACTTGGAAAATAAAAATAGAAAGCAAAGACATATGCAAATATTGAGGTCAAATATTTAATTAACTAAGCACAATGTGCAGATGGCAAATGAAGAGAAAGCAGAAAAATGAACTCTAGAAACAGGAGATGTGAGACAGAGCTGATGATTGAAAGGGACATCATTTCTGCAAACAAGAAATTAAAGATTAAATGATAAAACATGTAAATAAGAAACGTTTATAACTGAAGCAAGGAACTCAGTGTAAATAATAAAACCAGCGTAGAGCCAGGGTGCAGGAAGTTGAATCAGTAATGATGAAAGATAAATTTAAGAAAACATAAAAGCATAGTAAAGCAATTAGCTGTTAGAATATGCAGCCGACATAATGAATCAGAACAAAATAAATCTCATCTCTGGGAAAATGACACACAGAGAGGAATAGGGCCTACGTTTTTTCTTATGGCATCAGTTTTTTATGTGCCAGGCATTGAACTCAGTACCCCACGCTTTCCAGGCAGGCATTTGTGCTGCTGAGCTATCTCCCTGGCCCCTGGACTTTTCTGTAGCAATGCTAGGCAACAAAAAATCAGCAGATGGACAAGTCATTAAATTTAGAAAGTCAAAACAATGTGACTCCAACATAAAGTACTGTTCTGGGTTGTGATTTAATTATGCCAACAATACATTGTACAATAAGCAACAACTCAAAAATATAGTGTCTGTGTGGTCTTAAGGAAAGGTAGACCTCTTCGCCCAACTGAGACACGAGCCAGTTCACTGGTGACTTTAAAATAACAATAACAAAACTGTTAATGATAAACTGTGTTATAAAAAGACTGGTATTTAGCATGCAACTCATTTAAAATTAAAATAAGAGCAAATGTGATCATAATAAACTGAACCAACTATTCTAGAGCATGTAATGAAAAGAGTGTGCTCATGAGAAAAAAGGGCGCAACCTTATTTCCTCCTACCACCAAAATGAAATTTCAATTTGGAATGCTTTGTAAAAACTGCATCACACATACAATGTTAATATCACTAAGTATAAAAAAACTCACAAATACATAAGAAAAAGCAATCAAAAAAGCGCTTTAAAAATAAATATCATGTTACAAAGAAGCAAAAAAATTCATAAGACAGTGATTTTATAATAAATTAATAGATGCTAAAATCATGGGCTAAAATCCAGATTACATTCGAATATGAAACGCTGACCTTTTAGTACAATATTGATAGAAGACTAATTTGTCACTGTGGTCTCTGGAGGGAAATTTAACAATACCATATCTAGCACAGTCTGGCAATCTTAAGATTTCTTTTCTTTCTTTTTCTTTTCTTTGTACAAAAGATCACTGAAGTTTTGGAAAAAAGCCTTAAGTCATCTTTCCTCATTCTAGGTTCTTAACCAATGGAAGACATAAAGCTCATTGCCCATTTAGGAATCGATATTCCCAGTATAGTTTCGTCACTACTTAGAGCTCTGTCTTCCTGACAGGGCCACTGACTGCTTGGTGGCCTTTCCTTTGAGAACACTAATTTTTTTTTAAAGTTATGTTCATTGCAAAATTTTTTTTGCTGTCCGCAGTTTGTCATTTCAATTTCATTTCCGTTTAGTTATTTTGTCATTCATCGTCTAGACATGTTTTGTCTGCTTAAGTGCAGATTAATTTATTGGCCCTCTTCTGTATGATTATAATTTCTGGCATCACGTCTAAGAAATTTTGAATTCCTGAGATGTCACAGTATATTTTTCATTTAAAAGTTTGCATTACTTTCCACTAATATTTAAATCTTTTACGCACCTGGATTTTATTGCTTTGTATAATTTCCATTCAGGTAGGTGTCCTAGCACCACAGTACAGACCCCTGTGGACTGGAAATGAGCTGCTGCTGTCAGGTTCCAGGCGCCTGCGACACTTGCTCTGCTTCTGAAGTCTGCACTTGATCCTGTAGCCTACTTAGGTATTCTCTTAAAACAAGATGATGCTGTATGTTACCCAAATAAATATTGCTAGGAAAAAGTTTAACGCAAATTAAAGACGCTTGGCTAGTACACAAACCTCATTCCTACCACCAGAGTGCATTTCCAAATCAGCATTTCCAAATGCTGAGTTATAAGCTTCGTGAAATGTATCAGTAGGTATAATCATATATAATATAAAAAGTTGATTATATTGATTTTAAAAATAAAATGTATCACATAGAAATGCTATAATCATATATGACTATATAATATGAATAAACATCTATAAATATACTGCATATCATTCATATGTATTATATATATATGGATTTGACTCAAATAACTTTGAAGTCAACCTATCTCTGAATTTCCCATTTTGTGATGTTATATGATTGTAAGACCGCTGTCAGCAACAAAGCTACTTATTTACTTATTAATACTGGCTCACCGAAAGAAAAGAAACCTCATCTTTAGGAATTAATGAAGTAATCTAGGAGCGTGTCCACCCAAGTGACGATGATGATGGTGACCATGACGATGCTCATGATCATAGAGAAAGCTCACACACTGAACGGCATTCTAGGAAAGAGGGCGAGAGTCCAGTGATTCCTCACAATAACAGAACGCGTTCTGGGGCATGAAGTTTGCTCTGTACTCTGAACAAGAAGCAGACATCAGAGGGCTAGACACCTTATCAGCATCAGCTTTATCTTCATACTTGCTTAATCAATTCTCTCACGCTACTCTGATCCTACAATTTGTTTTCCTATTACGAATGATCAAGGCTCCTCTTTTGAAAATAGCAGCATCAAGTTCTCACGCATATGCTGTCCCCATTTCTCAAGAAGTCACACGTAAGCAAGGAGGAAATACCAAGCCGATTGGCATCAAAGCAGGAAGAATGCCTAGAGCCTGAACCACAAGACGTGGAGGAGCTGGCCACAGTATTTATAGTTCCACCAGAACAGGAGAAACTGAAGAGAAGAAACACACCGTTGCAGACTTTAGAGAGAGCTACAGTAGTCTCTCCTGAGAGGAAAGCCCCTGCTCTCCCCAGCAGGGCCGGGTGGGTGTCCCGGCACCCAGGGGTGCTTCCTGCAGCGCAGGAAGTGGGCTGTGTATGTGATAGCAAAAATAACCGGCCCACACTTTTTCTTCTTTTACCCCACTTACTGAAAACTAAAGTAAATGTTAGTGAAATTGTCCGAAAGTGACTCTAAGCAGGAAATGCTGGCCGGTTTGTGAAGCAGCCAGGTCTCCACCCCCACTGTGTATCCTAAAAGTAGCTATCCAAAGACAAATTTCACTTCATTCAGAGATAAGCAACAAAGAAAAAACAAGCATCTAAGGCATTGCAGTAAAGTAAGAAAGACAAGGCAAGGAAAAAGAAACAGATAAAGGAAAGAAACCACAGAGACAAAGCCGTGAGCAGACGAAAAATGTGATAAAATATTCTATCATGAATTTTAAACTTTGAAGCAATCAGAAGAATATGAAACAAAGGAAGAGACAACAAAAAAAATACAAGGTTATAAAAATTGTAAAAAGAAGGATCTTACAGAATTTGAAGTAAAATTCATAGCAGTCCAAAGAAGAAATGACTACTGAAATCATACTAAAGTACAGAGAAGATGATAGTAAGAAATATAAGAAAGTATAAAGGAAAGATGTTGAAAAATTTAAATATTAAAGTGAAAAACTGCAGCTTGAAATAAAATTAATAAAACATGCACAACTTGATTCTTTTAAGAAAGTAGAACAGAATATTTCGCACACCAGTATAAAAACTTTTTCAGAAATAAACAAAATTTAATTATATAAATGGAAAGAGATAATGAAAGGTTTTTTTTCAAAGGGAAAAATGTTAGACATTGAAGACATTAAAGAGATGGAGGTGGAGCAGGAGAGTTAGAGAATAACAAGGGATAAAAGAGACAAAAACAGCTTTTGCTCTGCTCCTCTTTTGAATGTTATTGTAACCTTATGAATTCAGGTGCACTTGAAATTTTTTATGTTGTGAGCACTAGAGAATTTTCATTCAAGAAGAATCCTGATTTTCAAAACTAAAGAAACTGTCCTATACTTAATCTTGATTTAATGTTCCATGTTTCTTTTTGTTATAGAAAGCTGAGAACGTTGTTGAATTTCAAAAATCTTCAAACTTGTTTAAAGGATGCCATTCTAGTAGATTACTATGTGTCTGGATTTTTGTGGGCCAAAGAAATGGATTTTTCTATTGTTCAGTGTTCCAAATTTATGACTTTACTAGATATGTTACTTCAGAACCTTAAAAGTAAGTACATGACTTTTCTCTTTTTTAAGAAAAGGAAATTTATTCTACCATATAAGTAGATGCTTTTAAGCAACAGTTTCTGATTTTATTGCATTCCTTTATATATTTATCAGTTTCCTGTCACAGACACATGTGATTTAAACAGGTTCAATTTGGCTCATGATTTGGGCATTTTGGTTTGGGTTGGCGGGCTCCGAGGCAGCAGAGTATGGCAGAAGAACCTAGCAGAAGAACACACCTCGCACATGGCAGCCAGAAAGCAAAGAGGGGAGGAGGCGGAGCAGGGGCCAGGCAAGCAGCCTTCAGGCCACCTTCCCAGTGACCCACCTCGGTGTCCCGGGCCACACACTCTAACACACATGAGCTCATTGGTGGATTAACCACAGGTGAATGTAACACCTCAACAACTCAGTTACCTTCTGAAGGCCCAAGCTCTGAACACATGAGACTCTGGGGCACATTTTATATCTAAATCATACGTCTTTCAGTGAAAATTATAGGCTTTCTGTCTGATTATAGGAAAGTCATGCCTCATGCTTCACTGAGTTGAAAAATGTCAAGTAATAACCCAACTAAAGTTCGCCAAATAATGTGCCAAAGATTCGGTATTGTCACTTGAAACTTTCCTGTCACCTATCTAAAATGTCTGGAGACTCTTGATAGTCTTTCAGCCTTTCTATATATCTAAAACCACTCCACAGTTTAAAGGATATTGGCGGGAACTGAGCCTGTTCTTGCCATTAAGTGTAATGCTGTGCAGCCACGGAACAGAAAGAGTGGGAAGGCTGTGTGCTGCTGTACTGTGTAGAGACTACGCAGTCCTACTGAGTAAAAGCAAAGGGAGCCCTCATGTGCTTTCGTTTGTAAAGGAATAATGTAAGAATATGTTTCCACCTGTATATACACAAAGAAATGTTGGCATACAGAAAAAATGGATCGTTAAAATTGTGGGCAAGAGTAATGAAAACTGGGCATATAAAAAGTAGATTTTAAAAGAAAAAATACATATATATATGAATATATATATGACATTGTACTTTAAAGCTTTGCAACATTTAAGTACAGTAATCATAAACTAAAAAGAAATAAAAGATGGTAAAAATTTTCATGGATTCCACATTCAAAATTTGAGACACTATTCCCATTTTAAACCTTGCCTAACAATGAAGCAAGACCCTGTACTAAATATTAAATAAATAAGGTTTAGAAAAAGAAAAGATTTTGAGGAATAAACTGAAAAAATATTAATAAAGCTTATCACTGCCAAAATTTTAAAAAATAAATCATGCGTATATCTTCTAACTGATTCAAGAATATTTCTTCTAAGTGACACTTTATTCTGTATGATGTCAGTTCAAAAATTAATTTCTACAACTTGATTGAATCTGTCTAACCACTCCTAAGCCATGAGAAAGAAGTACATATGTAGTAGAATATGCAGAAAGTAGAATCAGACAAAATAGCAGGAAATTTAATTTTTCCTTCTGGTCCCTGAAATGTTTAAACCTAGCAAGGCTGTGAACATCATCAGGAAAGAATGTGAACAAATGCTTGCCTGGCAAGTGCAAGGGCCTGAGTTCAATCCCTGGTTCCACAAAAAAAAAGAAAAAAAAGAAAGAAAAGAAAAAAAAAAAAGGAAAGAATGTGATCTCCATGTGTTTGCATATTAAAGGAAGCAAAACTAGAAGGACATCGGAGGCCTAGGGACGCAGGTGTCACCTCCATGCACAACTGCATAGAGAAAGCCCCAGAGAGCTTGGTCCAGGTTGGGGTCCTGTGGCCCATGCAGTATACAAATGCATTTCAGCCTGGGCTCCAGATCTTATCCTTGTCTTCTCAGAATGGTACTGCCTCTCTACTCCCCACTTAGCTTGAAACTGGGTCAATCTAAAAGACTGTTATCTTAGCAGTTGACTCTCTGTGAATTCAACAAACGTAGGACAGATAATATTTTTTAATTTCATCTGTATTGAACATAGATTGTTTGTCCTTGTCATCATTCCCCCAAACAACACAGTGTTAGCAACTATTTACCTAGCCTTTGCATTGTATTAGATATTAGAAGTAATCTGGAGATAATTTAAAGTATATAGGAAAATTATGTAAGTTAAATGAAATTCTAGGCCATTTATATGAAGAACTGGAGCATCAGTAGATGTTGGTGTCCTTGGGAGAGGCCCAGGGACTCATGCTACTTGGATGCTGTGAACAGCTCTGTACATTTTCCTGCCTACTTTTTCTAGGGTTTAAAAAGAGACAAGTTGTAACATATTAGATAGACAGAGATTTGCCTTTTATCCAGGTCTATACCTCTATGTTGACCTCCCCGTATATACTATGGTTAATAATAACTATAGAACCCTTTCTAATTCCTATGAGGCTAAACTGAATTCCCTTTCCCTCAAGTAAGAGTAATAGTAACAGCACTTAGGTAGGATGAGCTTGTGCCATGCTTTAGACATAATGGTTTACTTGATTCATACAGTCTTATGAGACAAACAAATAAGGGTGTGAGGGGTTAAATAATTTAAGATCGCATGCACTCAACCTCAGCAAATGCGAGTTTATCTTCTTATGAAACCAAACATGCCTGGCTCTGGACTGAATTCCTGAAAGCACTAAACATGTACAGTATACTACCATAGAATGTACATGTTTTCAGTCATCAATAGTTCCATGTACATTTCTTATTTGGTTGTCACAGTAGCACTGTCATTTTGAAAATAGGTATTATTCTCATTTTATAGATAAAGAAATGAGTCTCAGGTCACCCAGCTAGTGTCAGTTATGAGATACAGTACAATGGAAGTTTTCCAGCTAATTATAAATCTCATGTATTCATTACCTAGATTTTCAAGAATAAATTTTATTTCTAAGAGCCTTATTATTTAAGTGTTTAATCTTTCATATTTTAATCATATCACTGTGATTTTTATAAGAGCAAATATTTCAGTTAGATAAGTGAAATGATAACTTCCCTAATTTTCAAAGCAATTATCTATGGAAAGACATTAGAAGTAGAAAAGAAAAAAAAAGTTTTAAAGAATCAGTTATTTTTCAACATAAGGAAATAGTCTTATAAATGTATTTTTTATTTGATAAGTATAATTTCATCTTGAATTATAATCAGTTATCTGAGAATTTTTTTCTCTGCCTCTCTAATACCATTTCATTAATGAAACAATTCAGATTTTCCATTCATTCATGAGTTGCTCTATTCCAACCAATTTTTCATTTCTGAAGTTATTTTTACCACTTTTAAAAGAGTTTATCATGTAAATGGAAATGTATAAATGAGCTGGATTCCAGCAGGGCCATATAGAAAAACCTAGTCATCCCGTAACTGCTGAGCGCATGCCACTCACTTCCAGGATTATCTGGAGGGAAGCTGTAGAATTAGACCACTTGTGGTTTATTAAACCAGATTTTAACTATCTAGTGTTATGCTTCTTTCTGTTTGCTACAAGGAGGATGGAGTCTAAACCAATTGCAGCAGAGTGCTTATGATACTGTGAGAGGGAAAGAAACTGCTCAAAGGGAAGGAACACTTGGAATGAGGGAAAGAGAAGAGGAAGAAAAAGGAAGGGAAAAGATATATGTGCATATTCAGGATAGCTGGGATAATTGCGCTGCTGATTTATACTGAAAGGAGCACTTAATGCTTTGGGTTTTTTCCCTTTGTCTTCTTTAGAATTTTTGACTAGTTTTTCATGTTTATATCTAGTAATCTGAACAACTAACTTGAAAACATCAATATGCAATATGACAACCATTGTTGAATTGCTATCATTTTGTTACTGAAATTCTGTATCATTTCTAATGTCCTTTTTAAAACAATTTTGATTCGCCTTAAAAAGTAAAATGATTAAGTTACATTCTCTTCATTGCTGATTTTTGGATTTGGGGATTTGGCACTTACATTCCTGAAGGAGTAGCAGGACATTCAGGCATGGCAGAGTCCGCCAGGTGGCGGGTGTATTCACAGCTTAGTTCTGTCTCCATCCTGCTGAGTCCCTTCTGGTTCAAGAAATAGAGCATTTAAGGAATAGTTTCTGAGCGAAGTTCCTTTCCGTCCTCCGTGCAGGAGCCTCAGCTGATGAGCACATCTCCTGAGCAGAGAGAGGACTTCCCAGAGCCTTCCAGCTCTCCCCCTTCAGCCCCCGTGGCTTTTTGTCGGTGCTCCCAGTATTGTCGACGTATAAAGGACACTGTGGACACTCCAGTTACCTAGATCTGTGCTCCGAGGCTGTAGCGGAGTGTACACATGAATTGTAAACAATATTTTGCCGGTCACTGCTAAAACTAAGCATGATATAACCATTAGAAGTTAATATTTTTATTATTATAGACAAGAGAAAAACAAACAAACTGGAGATTGAACCTATGGACTTCACATTGGGCTATATCCTAGCCGTCTTTAAATATTTATTTTATTGAAACTTTTATTTCTATTTTTGTCCGGTTCCCACCTACCTTAGCCTCCCAGAGTACTGACATCGCAGATGGGCCCTACCATGCCCGGCTTCTCTCTAGTTGTATCTACTTCTTTCTCAACTGAACAGTTGCCATAGAAGGAGGTGTTTGTTTGTTTGCTAGAATAGACTAGCAGCCTTCTTTTGAGAAATGGTGACGTTGTATCACTGCTTTTGCCCATTTCCTCATGCCAACCTTCCAATGTATGCATTTGCAAATAGCTTACCTGAGTTCTGAGTCTGCAGCTGGGACAAAAAAAGAGACAGTTCTACATAAAAACCCATATTGCAGAGGGCCGGCCAGATAGCTCAGCGGACTAAAGTGCCTGCTTAAGCAAAGCGCAGGGACCGGGGTTCCATCCCTGGCAGCACATGCTGTGCTGGCTCTGGGGGCACACTCAGCCGGCGACTGAGACTGGGCCTGGTGGCATGCGTCTGTAATTCCAGAGCTTGGGAGACTGAAAGCAGGAGGAACACTAGGTGTCGGATCTGTATAGTGAGACCCTGTAGATCCTGTACTAAATACATTAAAAACAAACAAAAAAGCCTCATATTTCTGGCTTCCATTGAAAATCTTTGAGCCCACAGTCTCCTGCAGTAGCGCTCAGCTGTTGCTGGTGTTCATCATTCCATTCATTTACTCTTCGAGCTCCAAGTTCCCATCTGAGCTCTACAGCGATCAAGATGACCATCTGACCTTCCCCGTGAGCTAACTCCACTACCGCTATGTAATTTTATATATGTTTTTAGCTAACATTTTTTAAAATATCCTTCTTATTCTAAATAATCTTTAGAGAGACTTTGATTTTTGTGTTTGCTGTTTATTGGTTTTGTAGTGAGGAGGTAGTACTGAGGACTGAACCCAGAGCCCTTGTCCTGAGCTACATCCCCACCCTTTTCTTTCGTTTTTATTTTTATTTTAAGATAGGGTTTCACAAAGTTGCTAAGTTTCCCAGGCTGGGATTCTCCTGTTTCGGCTTCACAGAGTGCTGCGATTACAGGGGTGTATCACACCTTGCTGATGTTTTTCTTTTTCTATTATACGATGGAAACACATTCCTCAGACTGTTGTGTGGCATTATAGTAATTATGCTTGTTGGATGGCTCAGCTGTTGTTCTTTTGTGTAAAATATAATTATTAACTTCTTAGAAAAAATAAGAATTTTATCATGTGTCCTCATTAAATGTTGATCAGAATAAATCTTGGACACACTTAAAACATCTTGCTTTATTTTGCTCTCAGAATGCTTACTAAAAGAATGCTCAGGATTTGTCTGGCTTTCTTCTCAGCACTGCACATGTCCTTGGAGGACAACATAAAGTGGCTTGGAGAAGTGATGGCTGAGATCGGGCCGAACCATTCCCAACGGATTGATGAGTGGACGGTGTTTGATGTAAAGCAAGCCAATGCTATCACTGATTACTTAAAAATCAGGTATGGATTTTTTCCTTATCATTTTTTAAAATTTCATGTCTTTTAGAAAGTGCCTTGCAAACTTAAGTACAGTTTTAAGCAAAATCAGATGTGTACAGCTTTTGCATGTCGGTTAAATCAGTCAGTAAACATAACCTTCAAATTGTTCATCTAATAAATAAAAATCAGTTTGTTGAGTGTTTTGGCTAATGTTGTATTCCTAAAAATGCCTTGTATTTGATAAATATAATTTCATCTAGAGTTATAATAAATTACATAAGAATTTTCTTTTCTCTGAATCCTTAATAACATTTTATTAATAAAGTGATATTTTATAATGAAACAAACTTAATTATAATAGGTTCTATGTTTTAGATAGCTTATCTTCCCAAATACCTAATTTTTCTTTTTAAAGAGCAGCATTCATTTCCACACTAATGTTTATTTTAAATATTTTGTACCATAAATTGAAGAACTCTATGTATTTTCTAAAATTCATTATGTACCCCCAAACATTTGTACTATTGACCAAATGAACTGATGAAAGCTCTTTCTACTTAGGCGATGATGGTGGCTTGAGGGGAAGTATCTTTATTAAGGGGCTCTTCACTGACGTGAGAAGGCTGGCTTCTTACCCTGTCTTCACAAAGTCTGCTTGGGGGTCATGCATCTCTCCAAAAGGACATTTTCAAGATTTGCAAACATTCAAATTTGAGTACCAAGTTTCTCTTGCCAAACTAAAGTTTCTGTGCAGCACCTTTGTTCCACTTATGCTACATATGCCAATATTTTCCAACATTGAAAATTAACATGGTACAGTAGAGTGCCAAGTCCCATCCCAGCCATGCTTGTGATGTGCTTGGCAAGGACTTTGGTTGTCACTTGGAAGCTTTATAAATATTAATATGTTTAATATGGTAAAGTGTACACACTGGTTTCTGGCATAAATTAATAATAGCATGTGATAAAATATACTTTTACATAGTGGTGTTTGATACAAGGTGATTTCTTAATATAAATATATTCCTCCTAATGAGTGGTTCTCACTACAAGATAATAATTTTCACCAATTAGAATAAGACAGAGAACTTATGGGTGGGGAGAGAAAGGGCTGGAAATTCATCACTTGGTAAGCACTGTGCCTTACTGTCTTTCTGCCCCTCAGGGCTTGAGAATGACCACACAAGAGATTTTTCCCTGCACATTTGTATTAGGTACCTTCTTTCCCTCCTCCCTCTTTTTTGAACATGCCAGGTTGCTCTTAAAAAACCTATTTTTACAGCTGAGCTCTAGGCCCTGGGGCTTATAATGGGCTCTATACCGACAGGTCACTACAGCGGCAAAAGCCACACACACGCCATGACAAAACTTTCTGGACAATCAGGAAGGGGCTCCTGTCCTGCTGATCACCCCTTTCTGGACATATGCTCATCAACATATTTGTTCAGAAGGTGACTGACTTAGATCATAGCCCAGGGTAACTTCAAAAGTCAAAATCTCCACAAGTAGAATAGGAGAACCTGTACTATAACATCATGTAACTCAGTTGTGTCCCAAATTTTCTGATCAAGGAGATTATGGGGCGACAGAGGAAAGTGATTGATGATGCAGAGTATGCTAAGGAGAGTCACATGGAGAGAAAACATTCTCTCAGGCTTTCACAGAGAGCAAATTGGTCAAGCATTGACTGTGACTCATCCACATGGCTGTCACAGACAAAGGATCTATAAAGTGTGGTACAGGGTTTCAAGATAAATTCTAAGGGGATATGACTGACCTTGTCAGATACAAAAGTTACATTACTTGTTATATAGGTCTTGCTTTATCTTGGTCTGAACAAGCCAGCAGAAACGTATAAAAATGAAGTATAGAAAATAAAGCCATATTAATATGCTGAGCTGTAAAAGGCTCAAGTCAACAACTTCTGTCATTGCCAATCCTAAGAAAACCCACTACTATTATGGGTTACTGGAGTATATTGGAATATTTTACTGAATTCATTCACCTACAATATTTAAATGACAATGGAACACCCTTCTCTGACAAAACTAAACCAAAAAAGGGGGTACAAATGAATGACTATTTTGTATCTGTATATTCAAAATAGTTAAGATAGATATACAGCTACTTTCTCTTAATTCAATGAATAGAAAGAGTTATACTAATAGTGTTTGTGGACAGGATATCATGTCTGCATCTTGTACTATGAATAACCACAATATGCAAGACAACAATATGAAGACAACAATATGAATGTATTAATTATTGAAACTGTCCTACTAACCAGTTTTAAAACTGTCTCATTCTTATTTGTTTCTCAATAAAATTAAAAAGGGGAAAATTTTTGAGGTGGGTTAATGGTGATGTGTGTTTTGTTGCAATACATTCTTAAAATATTCAAAATATCATTAGTCCTATATGCCTTGCACTCCGCAAGGCTGAGGGCGACGAAACTTCAAGCATAGCCCAGAAAATTAAGCAAATTAATGAGAATCTATCTCGAAATTAAAGGGGGGGTTGGGCATGGAGCTCAGAACGTAGACCCTTGGTTCAGTTTAATCACCAGTGCCACTAAAAAAAATCCCAAATTACAAAAACCCCATAAGTAATATTCAAGAAATGAATCAAATAAAGTAAATCAGAACTAATTTTTAGCATCCTTCAATCTTCATAGTGTGACATTTAAAGAAATTATGTATTTTAAATGTCTATTGCAGAGAGATGTTAGTAGGATTCCTGGGACTGATACTAAAATCGTATGAGGAGAAATGTGCTTTTCTCCAACACCTGCTCAGTAGATCTTCCGGGTCACAGATGCAGGCGTAGTAGGAATTAAGTCATAGAGTACATTCTTTTGGATGCCTACAAAGCAGTTTTATAAGGAAGAAGGCAACTCAGTTATCAGAAGTATAAGTGTGTTTAAATTTCATCTGATATTGAACTTATGCTACCACTTAAAGCCTTGTTCAATTTAGGGAGAACGGTTTGTGGAGAATGACCCATAGACCATGGTACTTAACTTGATAATACATTAATTTTAAAATTGCATATTCTGTGATACGTCTGTGAGTTAAAAAATAAGACATTTCTGCCTCACAATACTGTAAGTACTGGGAAAGTCACATATATAATGTATACATTTGTACATGTTGTGTATTATATACAAATATAAATATGAATGCTAGTGTCTCTTTTTAACACAAATGTACTTACAGACCTATCAGGGCCAAGTCCACACTTTTGTGTGTGATCTCCCTGCTCCCTGGGAACCACACAGAGCTACCAGGCGCATGACACATGCAGCCTGAAGGCTCAGCTCGGGCCCTCCGCGCGTGCCAGGGCGCTGCAGCTCCTGCGATGAATCAAGGTGTCTTGGTCCATTTTCATTCCATCTTCTATCAACTCAGAGCTAAGATTAGATGTTTGATGGCATCATCTGGAGCTGTAGTCAGGCAGAAGTCTGGAGAGAAAAGAGAAAATGTGCTCCCATAGCTGAAGCGCCACTTTGTTCTCAGACCAGACCACTTAAAAGCTCCCAGGAAATGAGACAAGGGCGAGGGCTTGGCCTGGCCCAGAAAAAGCCTCCCCTTCAGAATTCTTCGCTTGCACACATTGGCCTGGGCCTGGCCTTCTCCCCGGCTCCACTCCTTCCACTACATCAAGTCATTAGTGTTACTTTCCTGGTAGAAAGTTAATTTCCCGCTTGGTATGGGATGATCTAATTCCTACATGCAGCTGGGGAATAAGGCAAAAAGATTGTGAAATTTCAGGAAAGAAAATGTATGAATCAAGGTCTTTGTGTAACACAAGATAGACAAAGGGAAATTTTCTCGAGCTCACTTAGAGGAAGCCACCTATTTACAAAATGTAATCTTTAATTTTTTCTACTTAAAATCTCTTACTGCCAGTATAATATTTTTGACTTTACAACTTTCTCTAGGTCACTAGTGTAAAGGAAGGAAAATTAGAATTTATTTTGCTTTGATCAATTCTCAAACTTTATTCATCTTAATGGATTTTCCTAAACAACAATTCAAAGTGATGTCAAAAGCTAAGTTAGTTTTGTGACTGTTGATGAATAATTCAAGTATGCAAGGTTAAGAAAAAAAAAAACATGACTGAGTCCACACATCCGTCACTTTTTAATGGATTGTGTTAGTAGTAAGATCAGCGGTTAATATAACTGAGAGAGACCCAGCTGCCTAAGGATTTCTTCATTGATTTCAAATGAATTGAAACTTTGATCCATTACAGCGTTCAGGAGAAGCCATTATTATACATGCTCAGTAGCTACATTTTGCAAATGTTAATTTCTCAGTTATATTAAAATCAATTTCCTTAAATAGCAAAAGGCACCAGAGTGAAAGAGAAACCATGAAGACAATTTTTTGTTCTTGGGCATTTTGCTGTATTATGAGTCTATTAATTTTCCCAACCAGCAGGAAGAGAATTAGAAAAATTCAAATATTATCACAAACAGGATATTAGAAGTCAGCCCTTCAGTAAATTTTTAACTCTCAGCAATACATTGCTCAGCTCTTTAAATTTCCTGGAAATATTTATTTTCAAGAACTCCTATCCTTTACACTGACCACCTAGTTTTCAGGTAGAAACAAAGGAAATGATCCGTCTTAAATTTATTCTGTCCTTTGATGTGTGACAGAATATTCTGCAGGAAAATTAGACATCTTCTAAATGGATTTCACTTCATATCACATCACTTGCAACTGTTATTGTATATTAATTTAATCTTGAAACAGTTTGATAATGTCAGAAATAATCGATATAGAAGTTGATTATAGACATCAGTACCACTCCCATCAGAGGAAACTGACTAGCTTGGAACAAAGCATCATAAATAATGGAAACTCAGATGCTGTTTAGGGATGATGCATTTTTGTTTTTAAACCAAGAAAAATAATGATGCAGTGTAATTGCTTTCTTATCCAAAACCTATATAATCATCACAGGTAGACTTTCTGGTATTATTCCAGGTATTGTGTTATATTGCCAATGTAACAAAAAGCAAATTTTTCATTTCTTAATATTTGTTTTCCATTTCTTTTAAAATTAAGGACATGACAGATTTTGTATTAGCATTGAATGTCTTTCACTTGATCAATATGACTTTTTCCTTTAATAAATACACCTATGTAGTGATATCAGTTTGTCACAGTTGAACATTTATTTTGTATTTCAGCATCTTTCAACACTACAAGCTATACGAGTTTATGTTCTGCTGTACCAGAGAAGAAATCGTGATAGGGACTGAGGTAAGTAATTTATATATTAACTTATTTTTGTGGCTGGCTCAGGCCACCCTGGGTGTGGGGCTGGTGCGGCATGTGGTCCCGGGATCAAACCACAGTCCCTGCACTTGCCTAAGGTTGCCGAAGCAAGCATTTTAGACCACTGAGTTATCGCGCCAGCCCAGTAATTTATCTAGAATGAACCAATTAAGAAGCATCACTTAATTCATGCTGATCAGCATCTGGACGTTGAACTGCTTAAAGCAAATTCTTGTCAGGATTACTCAAGTGTTAATATCACCAACTAGTAGTTTGCAAAAAGAATAATTATGTAAAGTGAGCTTTGGATTAAGAAAATAAGCTGCCTTTTGGCATGAGAATCATTGTTAATCACGTATGCTTTTAGACTTTACGGATTACTTGACAAAGCTCAATTGAGTAGGGTACATATGTCTTCATACAAATAAAAGCAGGAAAAAAGAGATAAATTAATTTGGTTGCATCTCATAATCTCATATTTATTTTCAGTCTACGCATTTCCTAAGGTCTAATTCAAGTCCTACTTCCTCCCTGAAGCAAACCTACCTTAACTACATGCATACTAAGCAAAGGGTTTGGACAAACAGTCTACTTAGTCTATGGTTTTATTTTAGTTGGTCTCTTCTTCATGAATTTTAGTACTGTTACACAATAAGCATACAACTGTGCTCTGTTACATGATTTTCTAATTTTTTTTTTCCTATGGGTTGATATATCCATGGAACTCAAAAGTAGTTTTTCCAAAGCAAGGGTCATCTGCTACTTTTCTTTGATGAGCAGCAGCTTACAGCACCAGACTGGAAACAGTAGCTCCTCAGTTAATACTAGATAAACTATTCAGTGACCATGCACAGAACAAGTGTTCTATGACAAGTGGTCTACCTAGAGACGCTTTGGGACAGCATATATAGAAGTGTATATCTGCAGTTACTAGAAATCAATACTGAGTAGGATTTTAAGAAAATTAAAGCTGTAATAAAAAGTTATCCTTTGGGTTCGCAATCACTTTATGCGACTTCATTGCCTTGTAGAACTATCAGCTATAGTAGGATCATTATCAGAATTAAACAGTCAGTAAGATGATATTTACATTATCTTGATAATCTTCCAACATTAAGCACGGGATGAAAAGAACACAACTGTTCCTCGCTCAGATGGTTATTCTGGGATTTATAAATTGCTTACTTCAAAAATACCTCTATTACTGCTGTCCTCCACTGAGTACCTATCAAATAGAGATCTCTTAAAACTGAGTGGTATGGAAACAGAGAGTCCTTCTTGCTTTAGATTTTCCTTGAAATTTCTTCTCTGCAGATTTTTTTACCTCTCGTTTAGATTAGGCATCACTGGACAAAGTCTTAACTGCAAACGTTCCCACTTCAAATTATATCACACCGGGTGGCAGTGTTGGGACATAGCCTCACTTCATCCACTCAGCATCATTTGGGAGGGTGACAGTGGCTTCAGCAGCAAAAGAACTGGATATTTAGAGTCATCAAGAACAATTTCAAAGCTCCCTTCTTCTTTGTTAGTAGAATAATGTCCTTCTTCTATGTTGTAAGGCTATTTTTAGATGACATTTGTGCTTATGGAAAGATAAATTAGATGAAACAGACAGAGATTGGCTGTTTAATTTTCCACTGTCTTCTGCATTTTCCCCCGGCTGAGCAGAGCCAAGAAAACTTTTTTAAGGACAGGATCTTGGGTCTTCAAGAATTAGGTCTTCAAGAATTGGGTCTTCCAGAATTTAAAAGGTTTAACATTAACAAGCGTGTATATTATTGCTGTAGTGTGTTATGGAGTTTTAGAAGTGTCTGATCACTTTTGTTGCAAATATCTGCTTTGTAATTATGAACTGTGGAGGAGTCTGAAGCCGGCTCCACTCATGTGATTCCTAATGCCTATCTCAGTTTTTTTTTTTTTTTTGTAACCAAATATGGGCCACATGACATCCATATAAATATTTCGCATTTAACTCTCAGACAAGCATTCAATTTAGAAAACACTAAAACAATTTAGTTTCTTTCTTAACTGTAGATATGTAATTAGCAGAAAACATAAATTCCCACTGTTCATACAGGTCTCTTGTTCATAAGTGAAAACAGAATCATAAAATAGAGCATCTTTTTCTTAGCTGTTACTGAATAACATGTCTGGGTCATTGTGATCAGTGGCTGCTAACATCCCAGAAGAGAGAAACCCAGCAGCATGTGCCACCTAATAAGATGAAAGCTATCTGTCTTAGTTACCTTTTTTATGGCTGAGATCAAATACCTGACATCCAACATTAAAAGAGGAAAATTTGGGCTGGGGAGATAGCTCAACAGTCTAAGCACCTGCCTGGCAAACCCAAGGACCCAGGTTCAATCCCTGGTACCACATGCTGTGCCAGCCCCATGCCAAGCTGACCCTAAAACTGGGCATGGTGGTGCATGCCTGCAATCCCAAACTAGTAAGGCTGAAACAGGAGGATCACCAGGAGTCTGAGCTGTATAGTGAGACCTTGTACCAAATAAATAAATAAATAAATTATTTTTTTAAGAAAAGAGGAAAAGTTTGTTTAGCTCACAGTTTGTTAAGGTTTTGGTACATAGTTGCCTGGCACAAAGACAGGGTGGCAGGGCAGATAGGAAACACAGGAGAAATAGTTGGCCTAAAGCAGCAGGCAAGAGCACATTCACCCTCGTTCTATCCCTTGTATTTTAGGCAGAACCCTTACCCTGGGCAGATGTGCCATGCACATCCTTAGTCCCAGCCAGAAGTGTACCATACAAGGCTGAGGACTGATTTAGGCACCACGCAACTTTGATCTCAGCACTACACACTGTAGATCCACCCGCCTCTGCAAACCCCGCCCCTGTGATGCAGGAGGTTTTGTTGGATGACTTGGCACGAGCCATGATGCCACCTATGAATTATTTTTGCTAGACATTTGAAGTGGGCCATCCTCTGGCTGCTCTCTAACACTAGCTTCTCATTCACTTAAAATACGGAAGCTAGAGGAGCATGGTAAGATGATCCCAGCAGCGCAATTAGGAATCCAGACTGTGGGAGATTCTGTGAAATGGATTATATGAAATTTTCAAGAAATAAATTACAAGGTAGTAAAATGAAGTATGTAAAATTGAACCTATAGATTGGACATGAGTTCCATTGCAGTGTAGGTGTCTTACTTGGCATCTATGCCATGGCTTGGATATACTCTAAGTGCATCCCCTGAAAGTTCGTGTGTTGCAAGCTTAAATCCCAGTTTGGTGATGCTGGCACTAATTGAATCTTTGAGATCTGGTGCCTACTGGTTGGTATGGGGGGAATGATTTCAGAAAGGATTCCCCCTTAGACCACTGAAGCCATGTCCTTAGAAAGGGGCAGCCTTCACGGTCATCAGGGACATGCTCGTAGCCAGGATTACAGACCTCCAACTTGTCTCTAGCTTCCTGTTTCAGGATGTGACTTCCTTCCCCCTTCAGCACACACTCTTGCCATTGTGACACTAGCAACCATTCCCCCAAAGGCCCTCGCTATTGTGGACACCACACCCTTTTGTCTACAGAACTGTGAACTAAATAATCCCCTTCTTCTTTACAAAATGAGCCCGCCTCAGATATTTTCTTATAGACATAAAAGATAAAAGAGTAATAACTGCAAACAAACAAACAGCCAAAGAACCCAAAGCACAAACCCAGAATAGTTATGATACAAGCAGATATTTTTGCATAATGGCTATATATTTGATCATGATGTCAAACTAATTGTTGGAAATGTGAATATGTTAAGTTACATGGCAAAAGGAACTTTACAGATTTGATTAAGTAAAAACATTTGATTGGGGAAATTATTGTGGATCACAGAGTGAGTTCAGTGTAATGGCAAGCTTCTCTATTTAAAAAAATGGTAAGGCAGGAGGAGAGAGAGAGAGAGAGGGAGAGAGAGGGAGAGAGAGAGATTTGAAGACAGCTATACTGTTCAACTTGCAGAAGAAAAAGAGGCCACTAATTTATTAAATATCTATGTCAAAATTCAGCCTGTTATTGTTCATTTTTAAATATTAAATTTAAAATTAATGTGTGTGAAATTTTATTACATGATATATAGAAATGTTTAGGGAAGCAGCATTTAAAATCAGTTGGGATACAACTTTGACTTTTAAAAATTTAGACTTCTACCATATAACAAATTTTAAAATGAATCCATTTTATTCAGCGAGCCCTTTCTGATAACAGCAAATGGCAGTTAGCCAGCACAGCCACTGAGAATGACTAGAAAAGCTAAACAACATATTTTTGAAATCTTACATGTTTGAAAGTTCAGCCAACAAAGCTAAAAGAATTATGAGTCCAGGAGGTAGGCTAGGCCTTTGGCAGTAGCTTCTACTTGTAATTATCTAGCAGCTGAAGAAGTGGGGCCAAGCGACTTAGACACCAAGAATTAGAGCTTTGATAGATATGTGGAGCTATAAGAATGAAAACCTGAAGGGGAGCAGCGTACAGTAAATAGCAAAAGTTGTATGTCAGACTCCAAAGGGTCATCTTGTGAAAAATAGCGGTACTCATCTGCCTCACCTTCAGTTTCAGATTACCTCAGTTTTCAATAAATTTAGCTGTGTGTAGTGCTAACCACTTCTAAAGCAAAGTATAGTTATGCAAAACTCCAAATTATATTGACACTTGTTTATAACCAATGTCTGTCACACAATAAAAAGTATTAGGCACAAAAAAATAGGAACAGTGCTGCTCCTGCCCCTGGGGAGCACTGAGAGGGCGACTGAGACTGGGCATGGTGGCATACACCTGTAATCCCAGAGTTTAGGAGGCTGAAAACAGGAAAACGACTACAAGTCCAATCTGTGGAGTGAGATCTTATAGACCCTGAACTAAATATATAAAAAAAGTAGAAACAGACAAATACTTCACATGATTAAGTAATCACTAAAATAGTTGTTCTTTTTTTTTAAATTTTTTTTAAATTTTTTTTTATTTTAACAT